CTGAACACGCATTCCGCGTCGTCTGGTGTCACCCATACTGTCCGCTCCTTTGGAGCTCCGATGTTATCTACAACATCCGACGAAGAGCCGCTAATCCCGCAGTCTTCGTCCAGTGGATAACGTGCCAATCCACGCGCATCTGAAGGGCCACGCCCAAGATGCCTCGGACTCTGTCCGATTACGCCACCAACGGCATGCAGCGACTGCTTCGCAACCAGAGCAGTGCTCAGTGGTTTACTTGCCATTTCACGTGCATCACGGGGGCCTCACACTCGATGCCTCGGCCCTTGCCGCTCATGTCACGCATGACATGCAGCGACTGCTCTGAAACTTGAGCAGCGCTTTGTGGGTTACGTGCCACTCCAAGATCAGCCCGCGAGTCACGCTCGGGACGTCTGTCCAGTACATCGTTGGTTTCTACCAACTTGTACATTCCAATGTCTAGCACGTTGACCGTCTCGGTCCAGTGCTCTCGCCAATACCGCTTTTGTCTCCCAGCAGAGGTGGGTTCATGACCCACCAAAGCTTCACCGGGAGACGTGCGCTTAGCGCCCAAGGTCTTGGAACTCCAACCAATCCATGGCTCATGGTGTTCCAACCATGCCATTCCTAGGATGAGGTCATACCTTGGATTGAAGTCTAAGACTAGACAGCGTTCCACGCCATTAAAGTCAAGGAATTTGACTCCGAGGTCCACAGGGTCCATCGGGACCGTGACACGTGTCCCTGTTGCTAGGCGAACAGTGACGATGTCACTCAACCGCGCTTTCAGCGCCTCAGCATGCAGCTGACTTCCTTCCATCGTGGAGCGTCTATCATAGTTGCCCGACGCCCCGGAATCGATGAGGGTCTTTCATGCCTTCTTCTGGTAGGAATTGGGGCGATGGCTTGAAAAACCTTGACGCGCCTTGCGCAGGGGGCAATTGCTCCGAAGATGACGGGTGTCTCCACAAACAAAACACCGTCGTGTGTTTGTGCGCTGCCCGGCAGCTTGGAGCTCCCTCGTCATCAGCATAGCTGACATCTATGGGCATAGGCCCGCTCGACGAGCTGTTGGAGTGTGCATTCCCTGGGGCAAAGAGGGAAATTGTTCCATCCTCACAGAGGATCAGTCTAAACGGCTCAGGTGTAGATTGACTACAAGTGATACCAAGTGCACGGGGCTGCCGTAGCTTTGCGCTTTGAGAAAGCGTAACTTAGACCACCGACCTTTCGTTCTATACTTAGAACAAGTACGAGTTTAGCGGATCGCGTTCCGCTTACTCCAAGAGTAATTACAACCTTAAACCAACGCTAATTAACTTTTCCGTTTAAAATCCAAAACTGACTTTATTTATTTTTATCTGTGGCATAAATGTATAGATTGTCCTTAATGTATGTAATAAAATCTAAAAACATGCATAACTACTGGCTACTCAGCCACATACCGTATTCTTGTTGGGGTGCAGTCACACCATGCCCATTTCGTGTGACACACACACCTGTTACCAGGGTACGTATAACCCTGTTACAGAACGATCTTTTGTCCTGGCAGTGAAATCGAAAGATAATCTAGTCGTAGGTATGATAAGCTGTGAACGTGACGAGCCATGGATCGACTGAAGTTGAGAAAGGTAGGTACCACGTACTTTTCTCGTGGATAAGCTTAAGCGATTTACTATCCCGTCTTTGCTAGGGAGCAGGAGCGCATTTGATGCGGGCAAAAAGACATGATAATACACATGATCGGTCAATTATGAAGAACATATTACCAGCAGTGACACAGCTATCCTTCCGAATCCTTTTTATCATTTATTGAAAGAATGTGACGATGTGGCGACAAGGAAATCACTATGAACGTCATCCAATGAAGGGATGTGCATCATTATTCGAGCAATGTGCAGCTGATCAATTGATTTCGCAGTTATTTCAAGAATCAAAGCTTGTGCCACAAATCTAATAAATCCATCTTAGCGTCAAGTATCTTTATTTCTTTAAATCCTTATAAACTGTTCGATATACTTTATAAATGGACTAAGTTTTCACCAACGATTAAAAAAATGAAAGAAATGATTAATGATCATCATTAAAAACAGAACCCAGAATTGATGTAAATGGATTTATAATTTTTTGAGATCGGATTAGTTTCTTACATGATCATTAATTTTACGATTTTCGGGCTAGATGGTGAAATTACAAATCCTGTTGTTTCAAAAAGTGTTGACCGAACCAAGCTTAAAAGGCTAATAATTCATACTATTAATTTGCTGTTAGAGTTTATATTTACTCAGATTAGCTAATTATATAACAACATGCACAATACGCCTTGTGACGTTAGCTTCGGCACAGAAAAGCGATGCTGAGCAGAAAGTTTTCTCTTTCATAAAATTCACTTCGTGTTCCGAACAAAATGAAGCGTTAATGGCGTCACATTGCTCCGTTGGTAAGGACACTTGTTGTGTCACACAATATGTGGGTGAAGGAACTACATCAACTGCTGATGGGAGATGGCAATGTCTCTTCACTGCGGTGGAAACATCGAGCAGGATGGCTGTTTATCCACTGACACTGTCTGATGCGCCAGCGACGTTCGGTTGTCAGGTGGCATAGCTTTAAAGGATAAGTCATGACAATGCACGCATATCTTGACGATGTATTCGTACACAGGTAACCGGTTAGTGAAACCACCTAGAACACTTGCGAGCGGCGCTAAGCTGTATAGGATCAAATAAGCTACCCACCATAGTAGACAATTGCGTCTTTGGCGCCAAAGGAATCTTTGTTTGGTTCACTTTCTAGGGGGTAGGTGTGCGAGCAAACCTAACAAAGATTACGGTGACTTTGGATTGACCAATACATTTATTGCAAAAATACTTGCGGAAGTGTCTTGGTCTGGTCAGCTAGTTTCCACAAGTGCGGTGCAAACTTCGCCGATCTAATACGACTTAACCCATCTTCTTAATAAGGATGTATGTTAGTGTCGTGGTGCGACGGAATAGGCGGCTTTTAGGGCTGTGTAACAAAAGCCCAATATATGCCTCAAAGCTATTCCGGATCCGAATCGGCCATTCCACGTCGTCTGTGATGCGTCAGCTTCTGCACCAGGTTACGCTTTGCTACTAGCAGATGTTAATAGGTATGGAAGTATTAACGCGTTTGGGTCTTGCCGCCGAACGCTGCGTTCAAGACAAAGATTTACTTCCAATTGAGTTTTCCCTCGTTAAGTTCAGGGTACACCCGCTTTGACTATAAACCGTTTGGGATGTATTGATCAAGCGTCGTTGCAAACAGTGAAGTCGCCACCAGATTATGTCACAATATTTATCCTTCTTTGTCGAGTACTTTCCAATCGAGGAATTTAGATTCATTTGGTAGCCGATACACGTATGCATCTTCCCGATTATAGTTTGTCGCAACTTACAAATGATAAGGTCATAGTCATTAATTGATGAGCATAGCCCACTCGTCAGATGCAGCATACATTGCGCTGCTGGGAGCTTTGGAAAGCAAGTACTTTGCTTATTTAGACATCGCTCATTGACGCGCCCAATTTCACGCCTATTTCACTATGTCTTATACTGAGAATAGCAGCATCGCAACACTGCCCTGCATGACTCTCAGCGTGTTGTAGATATTTATGGTAGAACCTCATGTACAGAATATTAGATGGGGTTAAAATCAGCTTGCTGGTGTCAGCCAGGTACATTTTGTGGCAAATGCAGTGATTTCACTACGATATGATAGAGCGTCATGCGCATGGCGCGCAATGCTTTGGGTGGAAGCCAAGACAAAATAAGCAACACATCGATGCCAGCGATAAGCGGAGCACGAATATGACGGGTGAAAGATTGAAGATTTGCGATTATTTTACCAGCCTATGCAGTGGCCATGGTCTCTCAGACCAATTAGCGGTCGTATTATATCGAGCCATTCACCTTTGAAGCGAAGAAGGGTTGAGGACCTACGTGAACTTACCAAAGCAAGTCCGAAATATCCAGTGCTCTTTGCTAGCTTAAATGAAGCCATATCATGATCCTACCCTAAAGGGCCAACAGCTGTTGTAGACAGAGCACCGCGCTACCACCCTCGTTTTACTACGCAACTTACTGCTTCAAAGCAGCGGCAAGGCACTAAAGTGCTTATGATGCCTCATACCAGGCAAAAATTAACAAGCTTCTATAGAAACGCTAAGATCTGGCTCATCCCAGCCTCGAACACACGTCGGTGGCTTATTTCCACATGAAATATTTGCTAGACTGGTGGGTTTACCAGGGCTGTTACCAGTACCGGGTGAAGCGAAAGGGTACCCTCATGAAAACTTTATGTAATTTGAAGTTTCACTTTGCAAGATATTCCTGATGCCGGTCGCTTACAACCTGGCGCATCCTCGGCCTTTATCGCCCGTGAAAAAAGAGACAGGACCGCGCGTCGTAATGCACTTTCCAAAAGTGGATTGCGACAGACTTGCGGTTAAAAGGCCCTTTAGTTATGCTATTACAGCTGTCTGACAGAAACGAGTGGACCGTAAACATCAAGAAGTTGAGGTGATAAACTACCTTGACGTTTGCGTCGTGTTCTGATGCTTTCCAAAGTCAAACACGAGACGATGGCTTGGCGGACATTAATTTTGCTAAAGCTGCTTAAGATGGTTTGGATTAAGTGTTTCTTCGTCCAGTGTGCGAATTAAGTCATACACCCATCGTAACTTCCATTACCTTCAATTATCTAGGTACTGCTCTAATTGTAAGCAGAAAGGTTCAATCGGGGCTGCTTCAAGCAAAGACGGAAAATATTGGTGAGTGATGGTCTGTGGGTCGAAAAAAAAGCTCGCAGAGCAAGGAATCTGGCGCTCGTTTTGCGCTGAGTGCAGCATTCTCACCGAGATTTTGTTGAGCGCAACCATTGCCATGACTGTGTTTTTAGCGAAGGCCTATTGGGCCAATTAATTTGGTGTATAAATGCGGTTTCGATGCAATTACGCACAGGAGAGCGCAGGAACGATGAAGTACCAAGAGTAGAGTGACATTCTTGGTGCAAACCAGTCGTAGTCATCGCTCGTGTAGCGGTCACTTTTGAGCAATGTCATAAAACTATAAAGTTAGTCAGAACCTTAATGCGGGTTGACTCATAGTAAAGGAGGGTGCAAGGGGAAAGTGCTGCAATCTCTCGTGTCTCAAGAAACCCGGACTCACACAAGCGACATACCGCGATCAACGACAAGGGCGAGCTAGCGACAG